GCCTGAGCTGGGTGGGGCATTGCCGACCGGGCCAGTCCATCTGCCCCTAACTGGTTCAACTCCTTGTGTCTTCCAGAAAGGAGTTTCTCTGCAGTCACGACTGAATCTTTACTAGGAATGTGGTAAAAGGAAAGGAATAAGAAGACCGGACATTTTGACCAGGTGCAATTTGACCTTTTTCCACCACTACCCCTTCCCACCCCCTCTCTTTTGTATTCCTCATTCTTGGGCACATTCTCTTAAGACTTAAAACCCACCAAGGAAAACATAAACCGAGGTCACACCCAATGACATGGCAGTTCAGGGGGCAAGACAAAATTATGCCTTCTGTAATCCGGTTTCCGCACCATGACATTTGGTTTTCAAGTAGATATTTGGGTTGAAAGCAGCATCATGTGTTGTCAGAGACCACAGCTTTCTGACTTTTGTCTCAGAACACGCGGCAAGGTCGCAGACAACACACACACACACACACACACACACACACACACACGCACAAAACCTTGCAGACCAATCACAGGAAGGATGCAGACTTGCAACAGTGCACCAGGCCCCAAGAGGGGATCTGCTCCTGAGACTCCCTAACCCCAACATGCTGATGGAAAAGGCTTGGGGAGTCACCCTTTTCTAGGTGAACACAACTCAGATTCTTGGAAGAACACAAGGTCATTGTTGGTGGAATTTGAGGTCATTTGTTTGGAGGCAGAGTTAACAAGCACAAATGTGTTAATTTCAGAGACATGAAAGTCATGGGAATAATCTTGCAAGAGAATTATGAATTGAAGAGATAAGCCCTCTGTGCCTGCTTCCAAATCAAAATCAAGGCACTCCCAGGAAACCAAGACAAACACTTCAGGAGCCAGGAAGCACCCAAAATGTCCCAAGGCTGCCTCAGTTCTACAAGCACCATGCACTTGGGAAGAATATTTGCCATGTTAACTTTCTGCTCCCTCTTGAGGTGGTGTGGAAGGTTCTAGAGGGATGGCTCAATGGTTAAAACCATCTCCTACTCTTGCAAAGGGCCCTAGTTCAGTTCTCAGCACACACAAAAGGCGGCTCACAACTTTCTGTAGCTCCAGCTCAGGGAGATCTGTTGCATCTGGCCTCTGAGGGTACCTGGATGCATGTGCACAGACCCCACCCCCATACACAAAATTTAAAATAATAAATCTTTTAAAAATGTAGGTGAGTATTTCATGAATCCCTCCATGGGGGCATCTACTGCAAGCCAGGCAGAGCTCTGGCACTTCTGTCTACCTTCCCTAGGGTTCTAAGCCAGTGTCAAGGATAGAGATCAAGTGGTATACAGACTCCTGGATATCACCTGCAGCTGCTATCTGTGCCCATGTGGGGCTTTGGAAAAGAGAGGCAATTTCCAGTTGCTTAACCTCCATGAGAGGGGGTTTCTTTGATTTCTAGGGTGTGGTCCTGGCTCAGATGACCAGGAGCCAGCATAGCCCCAACTGGATGAAGTCTTCCAGGTCCTCTGGCTCCTTTTAGCCTGGACTTCATTCTCTCTCATATCTCCAGTGCATTCTCTCTCCTGAGTATCCCAGTAATGATCCCCCTGCCACCATTATGGAGACATTAGGTTTAATAAAATGCATTCATTTGCTGGGTTTGATTTAGAAAATTGAGCCATGAGGAAGCAAATGTAGAGAGCACTGTGAGACTGATGACTGCAGGTCACTTCAAAATCTTTAACCTAGTTACCAGTGCAAGAAACAGATGCGCCCCAAGGAAAAATTTGAAAATGGGTAAGAAACAACCTGGGCAATGTGTTCCAAAGTTGCCAGCACTGTGATGTGCCCTGAGATGGAAATGGTGAAGCAGACAGGGCTAGCCCCACAGGTCAGAACAGAAGGTCAGAGCTATGGAGGGTGTTATGAACAATCTGGCTTCAAAGGAAAGCTGGTGACTTTTCTTGTCAGGAATAAACTAGGGTGAGTGGTAGAGGTGAGGTGGAAGAGAGGTGTGTGGAGAGAACCAATTTTGCATTGGAGCCACTGCCACTTACCTGTTTAATACATGTGAGCTGAGAACTTCTTTGTTTTTCAAACCTTGGAAGGTGCTGTTCTGGGTGTTGACCAAACCAATATTATATTTGGTTTCTGTGTGTTTGTGTTTTTGACAGCTTTACTGATATATAATGGAAATGCCAGTAAGCTGCGCCCATCAGATTTTGACAGGCCTGTGACATGTGTGTATACCCATAAAGTATCATGATCAGGTTAGAGAACATACCCATGGTCCCAAAAGTATCCTATTCTCTTTGACTTATTCATCTCTCCTGCTGTCTTTACCCTACCCTACTGAATCCCCAAACCCAGGAAAACCACTGACCAGTTTCTGTCACTATAGATTACCTTGCATTTTCTAAAATTATATACAAAAGGAACTCTACAGTGAACACATTTTTTTGCTTGACTTTTCACTCAGCACATTTTCATTATTGTTCAATAATATCCCATCATATGGGATATACCACCATTTATAATTAATCTGTTGATGGGAATTAGGCTTGTTTCTAGCTTTTTATTAACAAATTGGCTATGAACATTTAGGGACCATTGTGTACAAATTATCATATGCAGACCTGCTTTCATTTCTCTTTTGAAAAATGTTTTATATGGGGCTGGAGAGATGGCTCAGCAGTTAAGAGCACTGACTGAGCTTGCAGAAGACCTGCATTCAGTTCCCATGACTCACATGGAAGCTAACAATCTTCCATAATTCCAGTTCCGGGGGATCCAACACCCTCTTCTGACCTCTAAGGGCATTGCAAGACAAGGGTGCACTTATATACATGCAGGTAATATTGTCATACACATAAAAATAATAAATAACATTTTTAATGTTTTACACTTATTTATTTTGTGTGTATGGGTGCATGCCATGGCACTGGTGTGGACAACTTTCAGGAGTCAGTTCTCTTTTCCACTATGTGGATCATGGAGATTGAACTCAGGTCATCAGACTTGGCAGCAAGCACCTTTACTGGCTAAGCCGTTTCAACAGCCCATGCTTTTATTTATCTTTGTAAAATACCCATGGGCAGAATGACTCACTCATGTGCTAGGTATTCATTTAACTTTTAATGAAACTGAGAACATTTTCTCAAAGTGATCATAAGTTTTCCCACCCACCAGCAATGCTTGAGGGTTCTCACTGTTCTATACCCCAACAATACTTACTCCAGTTTTTAAAAATGTAGTCCTTCTGGGCTGGAGAGATGGTTCAGTAGTTAAGAACACTGGTTGTTCTTGCAGAAGACCTGGGATTGAATCCCAGCACCCACATGGCAGCTAACAACTGTCTGTAACTCCAGTTCTAGGGGATCCGATGGCCTCTTCTGTCCTCCATGGGCATTGCACGACATGGGTGCACTTACCTACATGCAGGCATAAGACTCATACACATAAAATAAAAATAATAAATAAAGTATTCTAAAAATGCCTAGCCAGGTGTGGTGGTGTACGCCTGTAGTTCCAGCACTTGGGAGGCAGAGGCAGGCAAATCTCTGTGAGTTCAAGGCCAGCCTGGTCTACATAGTGAGTTCTAGGACAGCTGGGGCTACAGGGAGACCCTGTCTCAAAAAGACCAAAAATTTTTTTTTAATGTAGCCCTTCTATTTTGTGCACAGTGATACCTTTTTGTTTAAATTTAAATTCCCTAACAACTAATGATTTGAGTAAATTTTAGTGTTTATTGCCATCCAAATATCTTCTCTACTGAAGTATATATGCAAGTTTCCGTTCTTCCTTCCTTCCTTCCTTCCTTCCATCCTTTCCTTTTCTTTCCTTCCTTTTTCCTTCCTGTTTGAGATGTTTGCTTTTCCATTTTTTTTTTTAAAAACAGGGTCTCACTATATAGCCTTGACTGGCCTAGGCCTCACTATGTAGACCAGGCTAGCCTGGAGCTCACAGAGATCTACCTGCCTTTGCCTCCCGAATGCCTGAACTAAAGGCATATGCCACCACCTTGGGCTGCTTTGCCAATTGTTTCAAGAAATCTTTAAATATTCTGGATACTAGTCCCTTATCAGATGTGTGGTTTGGAAAGAGTTACCGCTGGTCTGTGGCTTGTCTTTTTAGTCTATTAAAATTGTCTTTTAAAGATCAGGATTCTTAACTTTGAGGTGTAAGTTTTTTTTAAGTGCTTTTTGTGTCATATTTGTCTGATCCAAGATCATAAAGATTTTCCGCTAGAAATTTCTGCAGAGTTAAGTTTTATATTTAGGAACATGGTCCATTTTTAAGTTAGTGATACTTTATTCAGGTGAAGAACCATTGGGTGATCAATAATGTGTTGTTGTGGTGTGGGTCTATGCATCTGTGTA